CTGTAGGGGCTTTCTATTGCCCTAGAAATCAAATATAAACTACAGAGCCTTTCCTTTAAAGTCAGAGGCATGCCACTCTCAACCTCCCTGCTCCAGTGTATACAGAAGCTCTCCACTGTGTTCCCACCACCTGGACCTCCTCATCACCCTCATTTTCAGCCCTCACTCTCCTGTTTTCAACTTTTGCTTGGGCTGCAAATCTCTTTTCTCTCCTGTTTTAAAATTCACAATAACTTTACTATTAACATGCCATTCAGCACTCACTTTTCATCAATTATCCTAGATTTTCCCCAGCTAATGGTACATGTTTCCTAAACTAATCAGTACTCTTCTACACACATAATTTGTCTATTTGGATCATGAAATCTTCGCATTGGAAGGGGCTTTGGAGGCCTATCTTACATCTACAGTAGAAACAACTTCCAAAACATCCCTGACCTCATTTTGGCCTGAGGGTTCCCTAACTGGTCTACAAAGGCCCTGTCAGTTTAAATCTAAATTAAATCTCCGCAAGCCCCCCACCCAATTACCTCTCTCCCTAAATCTCGTGAAATGGCAATTGCTACTGTTTTCAAAGAAAGAAGGAAGGAAGTTAAGGAAAGAAAGAAGGAAAGAAGGGAGGGAGGGGCTCTAGATTAAAACTTTATCCTCCCTTCCTGTTTCAGTTATCTCTTGGTATATAACAAATCATCTCAAAACTTTTTGAGCTCAAACAATATTTTTTTATTATTTCTCAAGATTTTGAGGATTGCATAGGTGTTCCCCTGCTACCTGGGAACTGCATGAATGCTCATCTGGTACCTCACTTGGGACTGGAGGGTCTAAGATGATTTAACTCACATGCCTGGCAGTTCATGCTGTTGGCTCAAGCACTACTTCTCCCCCATGTGACCTCTCATCCTCCATTAGGCTAGACTGGGCTTCTTCACAGCATGTGATCTCAGATTTCCAAAAGAGTGAAGTAGAATCTGTAATGTATTTTTTTTAAAATTATTGAAATATAGTTGACATACAATGTTACATTAGCTTCAGGTGTACAATGTATTGATTTGACAACTCTATACACTACTCAAGCCTCAGGAGTCACAGTGCTGTTTCTGCTGCCTTCTGTTTATCAAGTAAGTCCCAGTTTGACAGGAGGAAAAAACAGATTCTGCCTTAGTGAAGGACAATGTCACATTACAAAGAATGCAAAAAATTTCCAAGCGATCTACTACAGTTTCAAACCTCTGGATACTGGGGCACCCAAATCCCTACCTAGGTAATCAGTGGACTTTCCTCATGTCTAAGACAAATTTGTCCTTCTGGATCCATCCCTTCCACCAGCTCAGGGGCTCTCTCTTCTGTAATATTAGCCTTTCTCTTGTTACTAGCTCTTTCTCAACATCATTTATCAATATATGGATGCCTTCCATGATAAAATTAAGCTCACCTCAAACCCTTGATGGTTTGCATGGGGGAAAAAAGCCCACACATATTGATATGGCCCATCTCCTTCATTTTTAGCCAAATGTCTTGAAATGACGTCTGCTCTTTACTCATGGCTCCCATTTTTTATATTCTTTCCTCGTTGTCTTTTGTGATACCACTGTTTCCTGATTCTCTCTCTCCTTCTCTGGACACTCCTACCAGTTTTCTTCCTTTGCTCATTAAAATCTTAGGTGTTATTTTTTCCTTCAGCTCTCTTCTTACTTTGTACTCTCATAAGGCAGTAGTATTTATTCTTAGGGCCTCAACCATGCTCAGAGCATGCTCATATATGTTCCATGTGGTTTCTGAGATGCTCACCAGCAAGACTGAGCCCAGAGGCCTGCAGAAGCAGAAGTAAACCATTATCAGTGCACCCTATTGCCCTTTCTTCCCTCTATCATTTTCCCACCTCCACACTTGTGTGTGCTTGGAATTGCCTCCCCAAAATCTACCGGCACCAAAGTCCTTGTCTAGGGTCTGCTTTTGGGGAAACCTAGAGTAAGATAACTTATATTCTATTTGTAGAAATTGTTCTCCCTTCCTCTCCACTTCCTAAATTCAGATCCTTCTTTCTTGTCTGGGTCTAGAAACTCTTACCTTCACTCTCTGAGTCTAATTTTCCCCTTTCCCAATTTACTCATGACACTGCAAGCAAATAAGCTCTGTAAAGCATTTGATCATGTCACATCCCTCCTTAAAAGCATTGGTGGTTCCCAACTCTCCCCTCCATATAATAAATCCAAATTCCTTAAACTGGACTGTAGGGATGGTCGTGATCTGGACACTGTTTAGCTTGACAGGCTCAACTTCTACTCCAGCTACGATGAGCTACTTGGACTTACCAAAGAGCTATTTCTTCTTGCTTCTAAGACCTTGCTGAAGTTGCACCAAGTTCTGACCTATTCAGTATTATAATAGTCCATTTATAGTTCTGCTTTCCCCCTAAGTTTTAAGGAACCTAAAAAAATGTATTTTACTAATTTCATATCCCCAGGGCCTAGTGTACATGCTGGGCTTGTAGACTGTTCTTTTTTTTTTTTTTTT